TGCGTCCGAACCTGAGAGGCTCGGCCACCGTATGGTGTAAGTGCGAAGAATCCGCAGCTTATAAATTACTTTCTACTAGACTACTCACAATTGGCTGGTCACAAGCAAGACTCCTCCCTCTCGACAGTAGACCTGTGCAGTGCTACAAATGCTGGTCATATGGGCACGTACGTGGCTCTTGTACATCTAATATTGATAGAATAGGATGGTGCTTCAAATGCGGCTATGAAGGACACCCTGCTAACACCTGCAACAATGACAAACCAATTTGTAGATTATGCCAAGACAACAAACTCGATAGCAACCATAAAATGGGTACGAACAACTGTCGTACCTACTTAAACTACAAAAAAGACAAATTAAAACCTACTTACAACAATAACCCTAATAGCAACACAGAAGGCAGGCCGGAGGTACCTGAAAACAATAGAAAAGAATCAATATGACGAATAGACAAACAAACAATCATCTAACTAATAAGCAATCATTCATATCATCCTATTTAGCTTCAAACCCTCTCCCCAATGACACCAGCACCTCTATAACTACGATGTCCATTTTACAAATCAACCTTAATCATGCAATAGCTGCTCAAGCCTTACTTGAAAGATATATAGTTAATAATAAAGTCTGTACTGCACTTATTTCTGAGCCGTACAACTCTAAAAAATGTGGCTGGTTCGGTGATACCTACAATAATGCTGCAATTATCGTGAATAATCCTCGCATCTATTATCCCAATTTAATAGATAAAGGAGACAACTACATAGTAGTTGAAGTTCATTCTATCATCTTCATTTCAATATACTGCCCACCTAATGAAAATAGAAAGAAATATGAAAAGAGATTACACTCAATTTCCATAATAGTCACTAAATACAATCACCTGATGCTGATAATCGGTGGTGACTTTAATGCACATAATACATACTGGGGATCTGCCAAAAATAATTTGAGAGGAAAAATCCTTTATAATTGGGCCAAAACCAACAGACTACATATCCAAAATGTTGGAAACATTCCTACATGCGTACGTCCCCAAGGTTCCTCTATAGTCGATATAACTTTCGCCAACAGTAAGGCTTCTGCAAACATAACTGGCTGGCGAGTCATAGACGAAGAATCCTTGTCTGATCACAAGTATATTGAATTTTTTCTTCATCCGCTTACCCATAATAAACCTATAATTAAAAACTATCCTAGATGGAACGTAAAATCTTTTAATAAAGAACGTGCTGAGGCTGCCACTCTGGCATATGCATGGGGCAACAGCCTGACCTCCTCCAACCCCTTTCAGTCCAAGATCGACTTAATAAATAAATATCTTACCGGAATTGCAAACATCTCCATGACTCGATGCCAAAGAACCTCCAGACTTCCACCTCAACCCTGGTGGTCCAATGAAATAAAAACGTTAAGAAACTCCTGCCAACAATACAGNCAGAACACGTAAGACGACTATATACACATACATTTAATTCAATAGTTCTATATGGTGCTCCTGTATGGGCCAAGACAATATTAGAAGATAAAAAAATACAAAAAAGCCTTTTAATGCTACAAAAGAAAATGGCTAACCGTATAGCATGCTGCTACAGAACAGTTGCACTAAACACCGTATTACTACTATCAAGATGTGCCCCCATGAATGTTCAAATAGAAGTCACTGCCGAGCTATTTTTCGCGATCGAGAAACTCAAAAAACGTCAATTTACACCAACTGACCTAAAGAGGCTTAAAAACGAAAGAAACCCGCTAATACTGAGAAAATGGAAAGAAAAAATATCAGAAGCTCCCATACCTATAAACACCATCACCCATGCTATCTATAATAATTATGACAAATGGATGAATCGTAAACACGGTCGTCTAAATTACACACTATCACAAGTTTTAACCGGCCACGGCTGCTTCGGCAAATATTTATATCGTATACAAAAGGAACAATCACCTGCCTGTCACCACTGCGTGTCTGCAATGGATGACAATCTACACACAATGCTGTTTTGCCCTGCATGGTTAGATATTAGGCCTCCTATCTTAACTATAGCAAACACATCATCAACGATTGACGACATACTTACTACCATGTTGTCTTGCCCAGACGCGTGGCAAACTATACTTACCTTTGCTCTTAGCGTAATCTCACGAAAGGAGCACGATGAAAGACAAAGAGAGCAATTCCGCGCACGACGACAATAAACCGTAATATATTGAGAATGAGAATAAATTATGCATTTACGATTAAAACAACCTATTGTTATCTGTACAGAAAATGTACCATACTGTACCATTACCTCATCTACGCCCACCTAACCCAAGCCTTCTTTATAGGCTGTTATTTATACTAATTTATTTATTTATTGAATCGTTTACAAGTTATTTATTTAATATGTTTTATGTTA